GTTGAGGAGGTTAACGATGACGAATGATGAGAAACATCCCGTCTGCCCCTCATCCTCATCTTCATTCTTGTCGTCCTCACCCTCTTCATTATCATCCTCATGATGAGGATGATGATTGATAATGATGATTAATAAGGATGATGATGATGATGTGGTTGATGATGAGGACAAGGATGATGATAAATGATGATTGTAATGAGGACGATGATGAGGATGATAATGACAATGATGATGATAATGAGGACTACGATGATGAATGAGTGATGATAAGGAGGATAAGGATGAGGTTGATGATGATGAGAATAGGGATGATGATGAATGAGGATGATTAGTAGGATGAAGGTGATGGTGATGATGTTAACAATTATTGGTGAGGATGGTGATGAGGGTGACGATGGTGATGAGGGTGACGATGATGATGAGGGTGACGATGATAGATGAGGATCAATGCCATGGCCAGGATTTTCAAACGGTGTGGGACAATACCGTATCAGAGCGGACCCACTTTACGTGTAAATTCAAACAATGTGGACCCATTTTACGGAAAAATATGAAATATCTGGACCGATTGTCTTAAATTTTACCCATATTTAACTAAATAAAAGGTATCTGGATCCATTTTATGCATAAAATTACATAATTTGGACCCTTTTTTAAAATGTGGACCATTTTTTTGTGGACCCATTGGAAAAATGGTGTGGGACTGTCCCAACTGTGCCAATAGCTGGCTATGCCATTGATGATGATGAGGATGATGGATGTGGATGAATATGATAATGAGGATGATGAAGAAAATGATGAAGAATGAGGAGGATGAAGATTATGAGGATGATGATAACGACGATAGATGATTGATAAGGACGTGATGAAGATGAGGACGATGACGATAGATGAGTATGATGTGATGATGATGATGGTGATGATTACAACGATCGATGATAGTAAGGATGATTAGACAACAATGAGAATGATGATGACGATGACGAATAAGATGAAGATGATGATGACGGATGGTGATGATGATAACGGATGATGATAATACTGTAATGATATCAATAGTGGTAATAAAAATATAAATAATATTATTATATAACAGTACTAACAATGTAATTCATTGGAATATTAAAATATAATTTTGAAATAACAGAAATACAATACAGTAATATATACATAATATTTTTAATGATTTCAACAATAATAAATAAGCATAATGCTACTATTAAAATAATAATATTTATATATATTTTTTATGTGATTGCTTTGATGAGATTGTATTTTGTACAATAGTAATAACAGTAATAATAATAATAATAATAATAATAATAATAATAATAATAATAATAATATAATAATCTTACAAAAATAACCATTTTCTCCGCCAAGATGAACGCCATCTTGGAAATTGACATTATGATCATTTCAATTAAAATTGATAAAGACAGTAAAGAGTAATTAGTTAACTAAGTTTATTGTCAATTTTCACATCTATAGCAAAACTACAGGTGAATAATATAATGCCATAGTTTTTTTTTCAATTTACCCCGATCCGAGTCCATAAATTGAATTGTTGGGTCTTTCAGAGCAAAATTTCGCTATTTTTTTTCTAGTGGGTTTATATATATATATTATACACATCTAGATGTGTATAAGAGACAGGTATATGCATGGAGGCTTCATGATCAAAAGTTCTTGCCAGGATTTGGTATATTGGCCCCTGGCGCGGCTGGGCTGCTAGGCCGTGAAGTAAAAAGTTTGCGGAACGCTGTTTATAATGCCATGCAATAGAAAGTTAACATTTACCTATTCGCTATACTGTAATACTACTCCACAAACTCATTAGGCCTAGCTATTTTAAGTTACTGCGCGGTAGCCTACATTGATTTTACATGTTGATATATCATCAATATAATATGCGTGCATCACCAACTGATGCCAGCTTCGCTCTGCCGACGCGATGTCAAAGCTCGCTCTACCTCACAAATACAAAGATAACGCTGGGGGCGCGCTGCGTAGGAAAGATCTAACACTCAATGATGTGATAATGAAAATAAAGCAGATATATTTTTGTATTCATAAAGCCGACAAAATCACTCATTACATAGAAATTAACTAAAGAAATTATTAACTACAGTATAATTTGAGGAAAGAAATGTATAGTTTAAATAGAATTTATAGGCCTACAATGTTAATGGCTGTTTCAGGCTTCTTTTGATATAAATAGGCCTACGGTATTGTTGCATGGAAACTAACTATAAAAATCGGAAAGAAACGCCCACAAACAGGTTCCCAGTACTCTTTAGGGTGAAGCAGACATCCTTTGTACGCCGTCTTCAGGTACTTGTAGGCGCACTACTGCAAAGAGTGAAGTTTTGGTCAGAGGATAAATAGACTGGCTATTTTTTAGGTGCACACACATGCCATGGCAGTGAATGTGTACGCGTGTGTTCACCTCTCGTCTATGGTTCCGATTTAAAAAAAAATATATATTCAACTTTGTTTAAGGTTTAATATTTACCATATGGACAGGGCCCTGCCGGCAGGAGCCGATCATGAGATGTCCGACAGGGGAACCGAAAATGGGGCCGATCGAAATAACGTCGCCTTAAGGGAATGTCCGCAGACGCAACCTCTGAGGCATTTTGGGTGATCGATTTGTTCCCCTTTTTTAACTTCCTATTAAATTAAATTCATAGCCAGGTTTCAACTAGGGTGAGGGCCTAAGATAGGCAGTAACAAGAAGGAAAGGTCAGACCTAGGCCTGAGATGTTCAGGCAGGCCTATCCTACCTAGATAGCTAGGTATAGGCCGGCCTACTACTCTCTAGCTGTAGGCCCTCCGGCTTCGCTAGGTTTCAGCTAAGGCAGGGGTAGATAAGGCCTAGGCATGGCTTCTACTATTAAAATACTTTATTATCGCCCGATGTCGCCAAATCTAGCAAAACTGCTATCATTTTTAATTGTTATAGGGCCTCAGGCTTGTCAACAACACCTGCGAACGAACACAATTTTTTATCTCCGATCGTTGCCAACATAGACTAGAAAAAAAATCTGAAAAAAATGTGTTAGGGGGAGTGGAATGTTAGAAGCAATTCACATAGCCAGATATCCTAATTAATCCCTTCTGGTCACCCTAAGCCCTGTTGACACTTGATTTTACGCCTTGTATACAAATGGCGGCCATTTTTCAAAATGGCCGCCAAATCTATCTAAAATGTGCATAAAATTGGAACTAAATAAGCTACAGATATGATTTTGGTGTCTAAACTCATAATTTATAGACAGGCAACAAACTAGACATATAAAAACTACTGTCACTCAAGCCAGAATGGAACATAATTAAAAAATAGGTGTTTATTTGTAATCGCAAAATATACTTAAAATGTACATAAAATAAGAATGAGTATATAAGCTACTATTACAGTTTTCTATGTAATCCAGATAGATTTTTGTGCAAAAATAGATTTTATTTACTAATTTCATCATTTTTACTGCGCTGAATTAAAAAAAGTTAGGCGCCACTTTTTTCCCAACGTCATCGACCGCCATTTTGAATTTTAAGATGGCTGACGCACCACATAAAACATGGTCATGATGGGTGTCAATGGAAAGGGAATTATACACTGATCATTTATTGTCATTACACCTAAACAACATGATACATATTTACAGCGATATAGACCAATATATAAAGTCACATGACAAAAGGTCAAAGGTCAAAAAATCAAACTTACCAAAAGTTGTCGTGTTTGGTATCATTTGAAAGCTCTGCCAATGATGAGCTATGCTTTCCGGTATATACATGTCAGAAACTGTGTAGTTTTTCATATATTGTCCTGTAAATCTGATTATGGCATACTATTAAAAAATAAACAGGACCCAGTTGCCTAATGTTCGTGAGCTCTCGGGGTGGAGTAGGGGAGTGGGTGCGTGCATAACGCATGTGCTTTATGGGCCAAGTCCCAGTTCAAATGGGTCCTTGAGGGGCCACGGGGCCCGAGCCCTTCTTACTACTGTACTACCCATCACTCTACTAAAACGCCTTGACAATAAGGTAACTTTTTCTATAATTTTCAAAAAAATCAAATAGAACAAAATCCCACAAACACACTCTTGACTGATTTATTAGAAGGTGTCAGTCCAACTACGACCCATCATTTTACTATGGAGGTTTGACCAGATATGTACACCAGTCTGCTTTCTGGGGAAATGCTTAGTTCCTCCGAGTCCAAATGAACCCCGAATAGGCCAAGGGGTCCCACTCTTACTTCATGGTGGCCAAGGCAAATACAGTATGTTGTGTTTTCCTATTTATTGATGATTCTACATACAGTAAATACTTGAATAATAACTATGAACACTGGTACCGTTATATTACGTGCTGTATAATATATTTTATTGGCTGATTGATTTGTTATAACACTAATAGACATGGTCCTCCCAGTGGTGCAAGGACGAGTCGTGGGTCCCAGGCCCA